CCCCAAAACCCCAAAACCCCATGAGTGAAAATTTAAATTTAATGAGTGATGAAATTAATGATTAATTGGGAATCTTTTAATCATTAAATTTTATCGATTCTAGTGAGCATACAATAAGGACAAGTAATTCCAGGTTTTATCTTAACTCCATCTGCTAAGAATTTAGCCAAGCACATATTACATCTTAGTGTAGTCTCAGGAGTAGCTGGCTTTATTGAATAATTGCAGACGTTTATCTTAATTTTACACTAAGCACAGTTAGGAGCACCTAATCCAAAAATCAATTCCTCTTTACACTCAGGGCATGAAACGTCTTTCGATTCGTTATAATTCTAAAATTTGTATTTCTCGCATTTTTAATTAATAGTCTCAAGAGTCTAAAGTTCTTTCTAGTCAATATCTTTGATGTTAGATTTATAAAACATTATGATCTTTGAAAGAGCTTGAAAATTTTTTATTTTCAGGTTATAGTTGATTGCTAATTGAAGATAAGACTTCTTAATAGTATCATTAACTCTAAGTAGGATGAGATGATTAGTTAGCGAGGCAATTTAAGTGTATAGATCATTGATCTGCTTCTGTTCTTGCATGATTTGACTTTACTTTCTCATATCTATTACTTTTTATTAGATCTTATTGCCTAGTTTATAGACTACTAAATCTCTTAACTATCCCTTGAGAGTACTTCTATATTCTGGCTACTTATTCTGTTTTATTAGAGTTCTTACTACTTTTATTTAGTCTTTTATTATTACATCTGCTTCTTTAGTCTAAGATTTTAGCATTAGTTCGATGATCTAATCAACATCAACTTATTTTACCTCATTTGAAGGAATTGCTTTAATTTAAGACTAATTTACTATTATGACTGATTCTTATTTTGACTAGATAAAGTCAATTTTTGATTCTTCTTGGAAAAGCTCAGTCTCATTTAACTTATTATTGCTTGACTGTTGATGTTATAGAAAACTAGATTCAAAATTCAATGTTTATTCTAACTTGTCAGGTGAACAAAATTGCTATGAGTCACTTCTTTCAGTTGGATTCTACTCAAATAAATCAAAATTGTTCTAACTATTTGTATTGTTAGTTGCAAAGTTTTCCTATTGCATTAGAATTTGCTGACCATCCTGATAGTTGTTAGAACTCTAACCGAAATTGAAATCATTCATAAAATTGCTGCTCTATATATTTGATATTTATTCTGATGGCTACTCAATGTCATTAGTGAATTCTCCGAAATCAAATCCATTATTTGCCCCAGAAACTTAATTTTCTTATTAAGAAATTATTTCAGTCTGTTTATATTCATCAAATTCAAATCCAAATTCTTTTTAATTAGATTAATTTTTAAGTGGAGAATCATTATTTTAATCATTGTTACCCAAGGAGGGTCCAAAATCATTTTAATGATTGCTATATTAATTTTACCCAGAAAAATCATTATCGAAGAAATTTTAATTATTTGGTTAGAGTTCTTCATTGAATTTACTGGCATCCTATACTTAACTCTCCTGCTCATATTAATTCTAATCAAAGCCAAACCCAAAATTGTCAAATGCCTGATTTTGAGTATTGCTCTAAGCTGGCTAATAAAAATCATTGAAATCGTTATTAGATTGATGCACTTATTAACTAGATTCCTCTTATTTCTAGCCAAAGCCAAAGAAATCATCTTAAAAATTGTTACTTGCTGGATTATTGTAATTCTAAGTACTATTATCATCTATTTTTTATTATTAGCTATCAAATCCGAATCCAAAAGCATCAAATCCAGCATTATTTTATTAATTAAAATGCTCATTACTTTATACCTTTTCCTCTTCATAGAAATTTTATGAGCTCGCTCTTTAATTATCAATCTTAAGATTCAAATCTTCCTATGGCTAATCATTGGACTATTTTGCTTCCTCCTTCTTCTTATCAAAAGCACTTTACATCTTAAGTCCTTAAGACTTATTATTATCTCCTAATTTCTTGAGCCCTCCTAGCTTTTTAAGTCCATTAAGTCCGCCTGCAGCAGCTGATTTATCTTGATTTTACTCATCCTGTTGTCTCTTTCTAATCTTAATCTTGATCGCTCTTTTCTATTCATAAAGAATAGAGAGTGGCAGTTTGTAGTTCTCCTTAATGATCTTTTAGTTAAGATTGATCCCCCAAAATCTAATTTCAGTAGCTAAAACCTTAATTTAAGGATCTTTAGAGTACAGAAAGCTGACATCTTAATTCTCAAGACTTAATCTATAGACTGTGTCATTAACTTCAGCTAATATATTTGAGTTTTGATAAAATCTTAAAGTTTTTGTGTTCACGCAGTTGACAATTGTTATATGAACCCAGCTATTCAGTATTAATTGCTCTTTTAACTTAATTTTCTTACCCTTCTATCCTTATAGTATACCAACATATTGATTATCTTTCAATGTGATTTTTAAACTCTTAGTTTCCAACAAGACCAAATCATTTGCATTTTCGATGTATAACCACATCTCAACAGTTATGTTATTTTTTATGTTGAGATTCTAATAAGTTACTGAGCTTATCTTTGCTTTTAACGGTTATTGTGTAACTTTTATTGAGTATGAAGGTGTATTTTCTTTGCCCCACTTATCTTCAAACTCAATTGGCTGGCCATCTTGAAGTGGCTCCTCACTCCATAGTGTTTCATTTTACAGCTAAGTATGCATTTCATTATCACTTAGATCGTTAACCTAGTTACCTTTTCCTTCGTCACATCTCCAATAGAGTATCAGAAATTTCTTCTCTTCAAGATCATCTGCTTCTTAATCATCTGTGAAATAGAACTCATTGCTTTAGAAATTAGCATCATCAGCTTGCTGATCACTGCTCTCCTATTTTTGAAGAACAGGTTAGTTCATATTCTAATTCATCATCATTTGATTGTTTCCAACAGCTTGATGACTATTGTCTGCTACTAATGAATCAAAGCCAAGCCAGTTAGCTATGTTATCATTTACTACTGAGTGCATTATATGTGATTTACTCGAGATCAGGCTTGTAGAGTAGGCAAATGGAGCCTCATCAAATGCAAGGTTCATTCTATTTATTCCTTTGATACTAAAGTCCACTCCTAATGCTTCATCATTTAGATCCTAAATGCTTTCATCCTCCTTGAAATTTTTAAGATCAATATTCCAAACTTGATTCTTTTCTTCTGGAATTTAGCATCTTGTCATAATATCCCTCTATTCAATGGCTTTTTTTTATTTTCTCTCATAAAAAGCAATGCATTCTGATTAATTAAGAAACCGAAGTTATCCATTAGCTAGACTCTATTCAATTAGTTTGAGATCTCCCATTAAATCAAGTACTTGCATAGCTAGCCTAGAGTCATTCAGCAATTCAGCACAATTAAGTGCCTTGTTATATTGCTTTAGCTCAACGAAATTTCTTGCCTATCTTTGTAGTAAATGCCTCTCAAGTTAGTAATCAGATTCATTGCTAAGTTTGTGCATTATGTCATTCCTATCCTATTCTTTGTTAATGTCTTTATTAGGAAACAAGATTTCAATTATGTTATCGATCTGCATAAGCTTGTTCTAGATCTTCACCTTCTCTGTTATCTCAAACTAAACACAGTTAGGATTGTTGAGAAGAAAACTTGAAGTATTGATGAAGTTTAGTTTGATCAGCCTTTTTAATAAATTCTATGATATCATAGAAGTATCAAGGTAGGTAAGACAGTTTCTAACTATGCTCTAATCGATCGTCTTTTTCTGATTCATTGTAAGGTAACCTAGAAGAAGACATTCAAGCATAAGACATTATTTATTCATGAAATTCACTGTCAAAGACTTTTCATTGAATCTTGAGGTGATGATACGATCGCTAAGAATGTTAACTATCACTTCTACGTTCTATTAAGTGTAAGAATTCAGACTTTAGATGATACCCACATTTTGAGTATTTGATTTTCCTAGAACCAAATATTGTAAATGCCTTTCTGTAGAAAATAAAACTGTAACTCCTCCAAGCCACATTAAACTAGTAAGAAGTGGATTATTTCTGAGATTAATGCTGCTTAGCACTTATAGATTTGAATCAACTATAGCTATTCTCTGATTAGTGCCTATAACGGCTTTTAAAGTGCTTAAATCTGCAGGAACTGTACTTTGATTCCATTTAATTGCAAAAACCTTCTCATCATAGGTCATCTTAAATGAGTATTTACTTTGAGCTAAGATATTAAAGTCCTCAACTCTATTAGTGTCAAGCCTATTCTTTGAAAACCTCACTTAATTATCTTGCTAACTTTCATATAAAACTGCAAGTCCCTCTCTGAAAGGAGTCCAAAATAATTACTTTACCTTTGATAAAAGCGAGACATGGCCTCTTGGTAGCTTTGCCTCTAAATCTTTACTAAAGGCAAATAAAAGCAAAGTTTTCAAGTCTTCTTGTAAGATAATTAAAGCTGGATTTATTTCATCATATCTTCCTATAAATGCACTGTCAATCCCGGAAAATTATTGGACATTGCTAATTAGCTTATTGCTTTGCATATCATAGTGAAATAGAAGACATATAAACTCCTGACTGTTAAACATTTAAATCTAAGTCATGAATCGATACTCATTAGATTCACTGAGAATCTTAGGCCGAACATCAATCTTAGAGATACTGAACTCTTGCTAATGTAATCCACTCTGCTAGTTAATATTAATTAATGTCTTCTTCTTGCCATCAAAGATATTGTATGCATTTATAAGGTATTACTAATTCTCAGGATTCTAGTTGTCATAATCTATGTAAAAACTAAGGGGCTCAGACTTAAGCACATCATCCTGCTTTTGTGGTATCAACTAATTAATCTATAAAGGTAATGGATCTGCTATGATGACACCTCTCATTCCTGATGTAATTGGTTAGAACTTATCATAGAGCTTAAACAAACTAAATTTATTTTCAATGATAACTTTTTTCTCCTAGGTTCTTTTATTAAGCTTATAAAGCACTCTTTCACTCCACATAACTCCATAATTTTAAGCAAATAATCCACTCTGTTCATATACCTAGATGGCTTAATTAGGTCTAATTTAGAGATGAGCGAAGTTGAAGTGATTTGCTAGTTCTTCAAACATACTAGCTTAGCAAAGTTTGATCAAAATGAATTTGATTTAACCCCCAAGGTTTTCTTATATTGCTTTTTGAATCTAAAATGTTCCATCTGAAGTAATATATCCAAAGATCAGCTAAGATTGGGAAAAGAACTTTATAGAGACTATTTAATTGTACGAGATCTACTCATGAAAAATATAAACCAACGGCTAGCTTTTCTTAAACTAGATAATCGAAAGCCTTCCCTAGACATCTGCTGTAATCACATATGTTTGTTTCTATCTTGCAAGAAAAACTGAATCAATAGAATTGATCTGATAAGGCTTTTATTCTCCAACTTGATCCTAGAAATATTCCATATTATGGCAAAATAAGGTTACTCTGAACTAGTCAATTGAAATGAGTCTTTGACTTTTAGCATCAAAGGGGTCAAGTTCCCACATCTTTCCATTTGAGAAGCTAACTAAATAGCTTCTTTCAAATCCCTTTATTCTGACTTAATCTGTGACTACTACATTCTTATAAGGACATTTAAGAGTAATAAGAGCTTTTGTTTGTTTCTTGGAAAGCTCATCCAATTGACTTAGTTTTAACATAATGAATTTATCTTCCTGAGGCTATTAGTCTCTTGGCTATTTATTGTTTATATTCATAAATGAAAGGTAGCTTAAGAATTTACCCTCTGCTTCCTAATTTAAAATGATTTAAAGCTTTAACTTACATCTTCAACATAGGAAACTATTGGACACACAATATTAACAGTTGATTAAACAACCTAGAGTATTTCTAATGTATCTGCATTATAAAGAGATAAAATATTGTTTGGATAAATAACTAGAATTCTCTCTTCAGCTTCTATATTTTAGTTCTTAGCAGGAGGCTTAGAGTATAAGATGTTATATCTCCCATCATCAGGAGACACTCCCTCAAATAAAGGAGCCTCAAATTACTTTTTTATCGTTTGCATCATTACATCAACTTCTAAGACTTCAACCTGCATTGACTAAGGATACTTCCTTCTAATCATCAGAATAGTAGATTCATCTTTATAGCACCAATCAATGACATCGTAGAAGTCTTTCAAGAACTAAGTCTCCATTATGCTTATTTAAAATTATAATAAAAAGCAGAGCTTCTTGATTGATAACTTAATTAAATCAATAAAAAAATAACATATTTTAATAAAAGTCAAATATAACTATGTCAACTACTCATATTCATCAGTAGATGACTGCTAACATGACATAGGCTAGCAATCTCTACGGAACCAACTAGGGCGGAGGTGGTATGAACGACGTTGGATAGCGAAGGCCACTAGCCATGTAAAAACGATAGAATCAAAACTATCAGAAATACATGGACAAAATGAATGAAGCTCTTAATAAAAATATTGAGAAAAACATTTTCCCATACTGGAGAAATCATCAATCACTTAAAGGTAAATTACTAACAAAATATTCAAGCGTTTATTAATCAACAATTATAGGTTGGTGCTCAATGAATTATCCATCCATCTTGACTAATCCAACGATAAGAAGACCACAGCCTCAGCCTGACTACGAGAAATACAGTAAGAATAATATGAAGGTTTTATGGAAGTTATTTAGAATTTTCAAACTAAGAGAGACCAATATCAGCTCCAAACATCAAAGTATAACGTCCATTTTCCACGAAGACATTTGGGGGCTAATTTTTCCAATCCAAGGGCCTCCTGCATGGAAATTAATCAATAGATAAAATAAGCTATCTAGGCAGTATTCATTCAGGTAATGGTGGATTGTAACTAGGTTAAAATCTTCACGCAGGCAGAAGTGTAGCTAACTTATCTTAAGTTGAAGGTTCAGCTATAGGCACAGTCGAGAAGATTGTTGCTTCTTTACCACAACCTAAGAGACCAGGTACTACTAAGTAACCAGCTAAGAAAGAAGGAGAGGGTGGAGTTACCATGACAGATAAAAAGTAAACAACTATGAGTGCATTGTAAGTTATTCCTGAGAAGAAAATTCCCTAAAATGAAACGAATGAATCTGCTTTGAAATAAACAACATCTTGGGCAAACTACTAGCAAATTTAAAAGAAACTGTCTGTAGGAACAGTAACCACTACTAAATATCAGGAAAGAACATAGATTTTCGATTAGCTAAATGATAAAGCAAGAGAATATTCCTCAATACTTCCTTAGTAAAATTACTTCGGACAGACACCTGATCCAATGAAAGATCCATATAACAGAAGAAAAGTAAAGTAATTAAATGATATCAGTTTTGAAGAGTCAGAGGATGAAGATGAATTTGAAGATGTTAAAAATCTCAAAAGACTACCGAGAACTGTTATTACAGAAGAGAGCTTGAAGCAATATCTAGGATCTGAAACTGAAAAGGTCAATTTAGAGCATCATTATTGGCTTAAAGATAATTTTATTGATAAAATTGGTAGAATGGCTCCTAATTTAAGAGAACTTTGCATTAGAAGATTAAAAATATCAAACAGAGCTTTCTCTGAAATAGTCATGAATCTAAGAAAACTAGAAAATATTGATATTTCAGATTGCCCTAATATACATTACTCAGGGATGCATATTCTTCTAGATAATAATAAATGCTTAAAGTAGATTCAAACATCAAATAATCCTATGGCAATTAATGATGATGTAGTCGCTAAGATTGCTGGCTATGAGAATTTAACATTCTTGGATATTTGTCATGCAACCAATGTTACTGATCATGGTTTGTTAGGATTTAGAGATAAAATCCTCCCGATATCTCAACTTTTTATTAGTGGCTTAATTTCTGCAACCTCAGTAGGCATCAATGATATAATAAACTGCTGCAAAGAAACTCTCAAGATCTTAGAAGCTGCTTTAATGAATCAGGACTCACTTTAGGGAGCATTTTGTTAAAGTCTAGCTTTTGCATTTCATCTTGAAGAACTCGATTTGACTGGAGATATTAATATTGGAGACGAAAGTATAGCCTAACTTGCCAAGGGTGATATTAAATTGGAAAGTGGCTAATCCTAGGTTATTGGACTGCAAAAGCTAAAGATTCTAAAGTTCTCTGGTATCGCTAGGCTTAGTGATCATACTCTCATTAAAGTTTGCAATAACTCTCACGTCTTAGAGCATATTGAACTCACTAAGTGTGAGGGTTTGACTGAATACTCTATTGACCATATCATTAAAAATACAACCACACTCAAATTCATAGATTTGAACAACATTCCAGCTATTACTCCCTAGGTCCTAGAATAATTAAAATAAATTAAGCCAGATTTACTCATTAGAAGATATCTATATCAAGTTGTAGATCCTAAGGATAACTAACTCAGAGTACCAAGGAGACTTGCTGGAGACAAAAAGAAAAAGAAGAAGAAGGGAGGTGGCAAGAAAAAGAAGAAGTGATTTAGATAGATCTAATATTAATAAAAAGTTTATTATTCTTATTATTATTTCATCACATTCTTTCATCACTGCTGATGCCAGAGGGAGTGACGACCTGCTTGATTGAGTGATTTGACTTATTTAAAAGTGCCCCACTAGCATTTGATGACTTTTTGTTTAGAAGTCTCTCACCGCTTGTCATCCCACCATCTTTTTCAGGAGTAATGCCCTTTTTTCTGGCAAGGTGTTCAGCAAATCTCTTATCAAAATGCAAAGCCTCTTCATAAGCAATCTATGGATATCTATTATTTCTTTTAACGTCAAGGTGATTGACCTTTTCAAACCAATTCATTTGAGACATGCATTCATCTTTCTCTTAATCGAGTATCTATGCTTGCTCTATATCTTTTTGTAGCTTTTACTTTTATCTCGAAGTATTTTTTATGTTAGCGGATGTGAAGGAAGCATTATGCTAATGATCAATAAAATCAGGTTCACCTGCACTATTTAAGCCTTATCCTCTGTAAGACATATTTCTATACGCAGTGAAAGGCCTTTTAACCAATCTACTGTTGCCTGCAGTTCTTGAATTTTTCATTAATCTAGCTTATGAATCATATTGTTAGCCTGCTTGACTGATACCAGACTATGTTGTAACTGGTCCATTATTATTTGTCATTGGAGTATGTACAGTCGACAGCTTATCATTTTTATCTGGAGAATCTATGATAGTTTAGACTGGAACATACTCAATGTCAGATTAAAATGGAGTGGGCTACCTTGATGGCTGGAATTACTGCCTTGATCTCTGATTTTAAGATTATGAATATTGATTTACAAATGTTTTAGCCATAGTTAGAGTTTTAGAATTACTTCCAACTAAAATGCTGCTCTTTTAATTTTAGGGCATAGGAAAAAGTTCTCTCACAGTGTTAAATGATTTTTTAATATCTGCAGCTTATCCAACTATAGTTGCATGCTTGTCCGGATCATATTCATTGCAGTTAAGCAATGCCTCTGCATGATCAGCGTTAAACAATCCTCTAAAATCTTAATGCATAAAAGGATGACTTGGTTAGAATTGCTACTTAGGCTGATTCAATTTTTAAAATGTCTTGCTTGTCTTATAAAAGGTTGGTTATACTGCGGTACTTATTCTAAATTCAGATTACTTATTGTTTAGCTATTAATCATGCTATCCTTATTCATGAATTGTAGGAATCCTACGATCCTAAAGGTTGTTTGTAGAAACATAATTTTAAATGTTGCTCGCACTCTTTATATTTAAAGTTGGTGTAGTCTCAATTCGATTTACATTATCTTATGCTTGTATCTTTAATGGGGAATCACGAATAAGCTCCTTATTAGAATTTTCTTGTTATCTAAAAGTAACCTAGCCTTCATTTTAATGCAACTTGTGGTTATTCTACTATAAAAATGTTAGTTTATCTTTATTTTACTATGAGTATATTGGAAACTTTTGTGAGTCCCTTTTTACTAGATTGAACTGATGAGTTAGCATTATAGGCTGAGTATGGTCTGTTAGCAATTGATAATCCACTCTATTAATTGAGCTTTAAACCTGTCACGCCTTGGTACTCTTTTTTTATACCAGCCTTTTTCTCTAGAGAAATATTTTTCTCATGCTAATCAATAAACTTTTAACGAATATTATCTCTATTTTAGGCGAACCATTATTTCTATGCATTTTCGATCATCTTATCTTGCTCAATCTTTTAAAAAATAAGATCGCAAGCATCTAAAATATTAGTTATTTCCCTAATTGATAATTATTACTTTTATCCATTTCAAGAACTTTAGGTCTTAAGACTTTGTTAATTTATTTAGTTGGAAGTTGATTTATAGCATTCCATAGTTACATATTTGGTTGTTTCATTTTTTCAGGATCCTTAAAAGACTTTGCTCTCTTTTAGGACATCTCCTCAAATAAAACGGGCTCATTGGTTGCAATTTCCCCGATAGTTTCTATATCTTCCACTTCTAAGTGTTGATTTGCTTTGAATTGAAGCTAAAATTATTTTGGTTTACCACATGAATCAATCAAACAAAATAGAAATGAAATTAAGAAATTAGTGTGTAATTTACTTACAATTTCTCTCTCGGTCTTTCTGTTATTTAATCTTTCTCTCGAAAGTAATCTTTATTCTTGCTGATCCTGATGCTGCTGATAGGATTAATCTTTCTTTTACAGGTTAAATATTTCTTAATCTGAATAATGAGTCTCTAAAATTGAATTTATTCTTAAGAATAAATAAGTTACTTTTGAAGTTTTAATCAATTTAATGATAATACTTGGAAACCTTCTTGCTAGTTCTATGTGGATTGTTCCATAAGTTATCCTTATTATTGTAAAAATGTTTATCCTAGATAGAATATTTAAGTAAGAAAAATGTACTTTAGCTTATTCTCTTGGTTTGTTAGGTTCTTCCCAGGGCCTTGGATACAACTGACCAGTCAAGAACATTTTTATTGTTGATAATTATTTTTTTAATTCTTATTATTTTATTTAAGCACTAACTCTACAAGGGGGTTTTGGGGTTTTGGGGAGATCGGAA